TTGTTTAAAATGGAGCTTAGAAAACTGACTCTTTTAAAAGAGCCTTATCCTTTTAGTTTCATCATACTTTTTACATGAATAGAGCAGTTTTAATAATTCATTTCTTGGTTTGTTGACAGTTCCAAACTATTTTGAGTCAGACCTAAGCAAAATTTTTCAGAATTTTCAGCAAATTAAAATTTTCAGAAAAAACTGTTTTGATTTTGGGCATTTTTGTTTTAATGAAAGCAAAGGAAATATGGACACACAGGATTAGATTCCCCAAATCTAGGAGGAAGTGATGGTTACATTGCTCCCTTATACCCAACAGTCCAGCAATTAGGACACACTCTTGGAATGTGGGAGACCTGGATTTGAATCCCTACTCTGGAGCAAATCCCCTCCTCAGGTGAGTACCCTTAGCACCAGGCTATTGCCGGAAGCGGGGGTGCCTCTCTCACATTGAAGCTATTCCACTTTGTATAACTAATTAAATATTCATTGGAACAGGGACTTGAACCCAGGCGTATTCCCCCATCCCAGTGAATGCCATAATCAACTGTCTAGAGTCACTCTCGCTCTGCTCTCGCTGGCCCAACTGAATAATTATTTAGACAAAGTGGAACAGCTTCAAGAAGAGAGACAGAGGCACCCTAGAATAACCAATACCATGGCGGTTAGGATGCTCACCTGGGAGAGAGACCTGGATTCAAACCTAGATCTCTCACATGCCAGATGACTACCTTAACTACTGTGCTATTGGGTATAAGAAGATGTAAACATCTCCTCTTTGGTTTTGAGAATAGCACCCAAGTCCCACTCTAGTAGTTACACCACATATCAAGGTTTAAGAGTCTGCTATTGCCTCTCAGCAAACACACGGACATGTCTTATCTCAAGCAATAAAAGCTCATGTTTTCAGATACACAATGTGGGTTCAATCCTCATTGACAACCTGACTAGATGGGGTCCATGAATCATTTATATACACCAAGGACTATACTCCAGCTATAATAAGACCACCAGAAATTAGTTAAGACTAAACTGCATTAGGGAAATCAACCCCTTTGTTTCAGGATATAAATAAAGTTTTATAATATTAGTGAAAAATTCTAGGATCCAATCCTGCATTAGATCCTGTTGGAAGGCACAATCAGGGGTTTCATGCTAGTGCCTCTGTTTTCAAGATCAGAACCTTACTCGTTAATGCATAACATTTAGTAATCTGCAATGGGTCACCGATTAATTTCCCTCTGTCTTTCAGTCTCACAGTTGCTTGCTGTTAATTTTAAATAGAAAAGCTGTTTTCTCAAACCTTTATGAGAATTCAGTAATAACTTTGCCCTTGCTCAGCCAGTAAGTTGTCTTAATGTATTGCTGATTCTACATACAGATAGTTATCACAAAAAAAGTTTATTTTCAACTTGTTTGCTTAACACTTTGTATGCACAAGCCAACTAGGTTACAAAATTCAATTGCAAAATATAAATGGAATATTCAAAATGGCCTTTGACCTCAGAATTGTGGAAAAATTGTAATTTCCATAGATCTGCACTAATTTTGGACTACTGATTAATATGCAGCCTGTTGGCTTGAATTGCTTTTGCAGGTGTTCTAGTCTTTTAAAAAGACAAAAGCTCCTCTAACACCAGTGTCCCTTACAACATCTGTTGCATTATTTTTGGGGTTTAATTGGAATAACATCTGAGTGTTGGGTAGACTGCAGTGAAAGTAGGGGAAGATTATATTACAGAATACTCAGTGAATAAATTTTACTATGGCTGAAAGCAGCACTAGTAAAGGACGGTAACGTCAAAATGTGTGTTAGCTCTCTGCGGGTGTGCATGTGCTCCTGGAACTGGAAATTCATCAATAGCAGTGCCCGTTAGTCAACACCTGCACCCAACACCTCCTCATGCTCCCAACCGAGGGTATAAGGAGTAATGCAGACCAAACACCGCTCCAGTTCCTGCTCTACTGTGAATCCAAAGAGGACCTGAGCAAAGGGGAATGAGGGTGGAATGTGAATACCCACAGGGACCATAAATTTTGAACTCCAGTTCCTAGAAGGTAAGTAACCTTCCTTTCTTCTTCCAGTGCTGATTTGCAGGGGTATTCACTATGGATGAGTCCAAAACAGTGTTTCAGTTAGAAGGTGGGTGTGAGGAAGCATGATGCATCACAGACTGGAGGATCACTAAATTAAAGGAAGCATCTCCAGCTGAAGCCTGAACTAGTGTAATGCCCGGTGAAGGTCTGAATGGAGCCTCAAATTGCTTCTCTCTCTCTCTCTCTCTCTCTCTATATATATATATATATATATATATATATCTATCTCAGAGG